CCCTCCTTGCCCTCCCTCATGCTTCTTTGGTAGAGGTGGTAGAGGTGGTAGAGGTGGTAGAGGTGGTAGAGGTGGTAGAGGTGGTAGAGGTGGTAGAGGTGGTAGAGGTGGTAGAGGTGGTAGAGGTGGTAGAGGTGGTAGAGGTGGTAGAGGTGGTAGAAAACAAGATTGGTCCCGGTCAGGGGTAGGGTGACATTGAACAGATGGGGTGGTGGTAATCACATAGAAGAGGTGGGGTGGAGACCCAAACGTGCGGTTGAAGTGGAGGGCAAGGAGGGGTCGGTGCAGGGTAAAACAGAAATGGTCGTGGAGGGGTGGTAGCAGGGAGGAAGGGAGGTGGTGGTAGGGTACTAGAACAATAAGCAAGGGTGGATCTAAAAAAGAAAGCGGGGATAGCTCTTGTGGTCTCACCACTCGGAATCGAACCAAGGACACTCTGATGTCTGTGGAAGCCTCTACAGTCAGATGCTCTGCCAACTGAGCTATGGTGAGTCGCCCGCTTGCTCGGGTGACCACCCCAAAACATTATAACTTAGTACGGTAACAAGGTGGCCCGGGAGGCCGCTACTAGGAGGGGCCTGGAGTCAATCATGACTCAGGGCCTAGTAGCCTCGGCTGAACGTACGGTACTGACTACCGGGTAGTAGGCAAGTTCAAGGTTTCCGAAGTTCAGTCACCTTCAAGTAAATGAACAGTTCAACGGCGTCACGGTTTCAGCCGGGGCCGGTCGGAGGCCCGGAGAATCGCCGCTGGACTTCACCAGACTGTGGGGTAGTGTCCCTACACACAACCGGTGGTCTTCCGAAGTGCACACCCCGATGAAAGTGGGTACTTTACCGCTGATGTGAGGGTGGTAGTATCAGATGGAGGTAGGGTGGGTCAACTGTTGTAATATTTCATGAACCCTTCCTTCTATCTCTGATACCCATTGATTGTATACGTAATTTGCTCTTGATGTAGGGTAGGGTGGTACCCCCTACCCCCAGGGCAAAAGGGGGACCCTAGCGCCTCTAAACCATCGGTGGGCAGCCGCCATGGCGGCGAAGCGAGTGGTGGAGACGCGGAAGAGAGAAGGTATGGCGACGAAGAGCAGAGAGCAAATTGCGCTGTTCTCATGTTGTTTCCCCTTGCTCTCTTCGTTTATCTCCTCTGCTTCGTCTTGTCACCCTGCAGAATGCTCCCCTATTGTTACTCTTAAATGCCACCGCTGCTCCCACCTCCTCTTCCACCAACTGTTCCTTCTGGGAATCTAGCACGTCCCACATTCGCTCATCAGATGTTCAACCTTATGATCGAGTTCAATCCTGTTTTTTTCTCGTTCCCTGATTGCTCCAAAGAAAGTACATCCACCTCGTTTCGCATCCCATAAGGTGTTCTCGGTATCATCTTCAAGTCTTCCTCCTCCTGTATTGACCCTACTACCACGATGATGAACTCGATCGTGTCTGCTCAACAATGGCATTTCTTCACCTTTCTACCGCTCTTTCCCATCTGTTGTCCCTCCGAATCCCATTTTGAGATGTGTACCTGAGACCACCATTCCACTGGAATCCTCTCTCTCCTTCTCGTCTCAGTCTCCCTTCCCTTCAAAATCTCTGTATCATTCGCAGTCATGCACAGCATACCTTGATAGTGACGCTGATGAGAACCAAACTCACATTGGATTCCACGTTGTTCTGGAACCTGCATATCACAATTTTCAACTCCTATGTCGTGAGTTCTGATGATGGGAGCAGATGGTTTGACGTGAAGAAGTTTGGGAGTGAGTTATGAGTATGCATTCATAGGAACCACCCAACACCTCGAGTGCTAGAAGATGGAAGGTGACACAAAAGATCTCGTCAATAACTGGTCGACTGTTACCGGACACTGATACCCTGGAATGCAAAACGAGCAGGATCTTACTGGAGCATCTTATGCCTTCACCTCCTCGTTGTTGCGATTGTTCGTCATCGCGCATCTGGAGTTTCTGATGGTAGATGATGGGTGTGCAGGTTTGGACTTCGGACGCGGCCAACACCGTCCGAGGAGGGTACAGCCTCAAAGTGGACTTGCTCGATCTGGTGAGATAGAGGGGAAGCCTCAATCGCTCCCTTTGACGGTTTGCTTACAGCAATCGAGTGCAATCAAACCTTTACCTCCATCTCGAAGCCTCTCCCTTGCAAAGAGATCAGATGACGCGGCCCGACCAAAGTTGCTGCCCTGCCAAGCCATGTCGCGCCTCAGGGGAGGTTCTCAAGACGTGGGGACTAGCGCCGGTGGCTCAGACACGGCTGGTCCGAACTTGGATGTGCTGAATGTGTCGGAAACTGCGCAAGGGCAAGCGCAGGTGACTTGAAGGAGGTTTGAGGGTCGGCCGCTGACTCCGCTGGTTAGACAACGGTGAAGAAGAAAGGACCGCTGAGGAGGATGACCCGGGCGCATTCAGAGGTGACGTCATGACCTCCTATCCTCTCCGCCTCCCCCCCTCGTGGATCATGCTCAACCCCGTGCCGCTGCAACGCGGGCCTGGATGGACCTGGCTGATTCTGCCTCCTTCCCTCTTTAGGTCACCTTCCCATCCATGGACTCCTATGCTTACTCGGTGGAGACGGAGCTGGGGTAGGGACGATATCAGAGGAAAGGATTGTTCACTGTGTGACTTTGCCGCCTCTCCACCAGCTTCTCTCTCTTCCTCAGTCGTCGATGCAAGCGGATCTACTTCATAGGAAACGCTGAGGGGCTTCACAACACGGTATCCCTCCTGGTTCCTGCATTTTCGTCTCCCTCCTCCTCTGCAACTTCCTTCTCGGCTCCCTTCTCTACTTCCTTCCCTCCTTCTCTCTCTCCCCTCCCGCTGTGACACTCGCCTCCAGGTCACCGCAAAGGAGCTCCTGGTCCACAACGGTGGGATGGAATTCTTCGACGCTGCTCTCTCCCCTAAGGGCTACGAGGAGTGTCAGCGGCTCAAGACGGAGATTCTCTGCTCGAAACATCCCCTCGACTTTCAGCTCGTCGTCGTCTCTCCCCTCACTCGCGCCCTTCAGACAGCAGAATCAGCTCTAGGGGATCTCAACCGTGCGACGCCAGCATACTCTCGAGCTCGAGTACGTTAGCCGAGTCGTTCGCATCTCCCTCCTTCCCTCCCTCCTTCCCTCCCTCCCTCCCTCCCTCCCTTGCTTTCCTTGTCTCCTGATCGTTCTCATCAGTCGAGGTGCATCAGCCCGCAGCCGGAGCCTCTGACGATGGTGGAGAGTGACGACGGGAGGAACAACACGTTCCCGGGGATGGACTTCATGGACAAGGACTGGGACCATCCTGCAGGCATGTGGGAAGCGCATCGCAAGTTTCCGCCGGGCTCGCTCATCAACGAGGAGGAGGGGCACAAGTCGACGGTGGCAGAAGAGTTTTCAGCGCTGCACGACAAGTGAGGTGCCTGTCGGTCTGATACCGGGGGATGACGTAGCGTCCAGATTGATGGCAGTCAAACTGACTGAGGAGACCTTGACTAACCAGTCGGGCTCGAACGGGCAGCCTGCCTCAAGCGGCACGAAAAGGAGGTGATGATATCATGTGACTTGTGCCCTCCGTTGCTAGTGCTCTGCTGATTGCTCAGATCCTGCTGTTCTCCTCCTCCTCCTCCTCCTCCTCCTCCTCCTCCTCCTCCTCCCTCTCGTTGACATCTCGCTGCTGCAGCCAGAGGATCCCTATCATCGCCACGGACTTGTGTCGAGAGCGGATCACAGGTGGCTGGCAGGCGTGGCCTCGCCTTGCATCTCCACTGACAGCCTGCAGGCCTGCCGTGTGACTGTCGCAGATCTGTAACGTGAGGACAGGAGGGAGGAGACGAGGGTGAGGCTGACTGAGCTGACTGACTGACGCGGGTGGTTCAGGGAGTTGAAGAAGGAGTTTCCCAATGTAGACTTCTCGCTGATCCGCTACGACGACGTGAGCGACTCTCCTCTCCTCCTCGCGCTGTCTGGCCCTCCTCACCTCCAGTGCTGCAGGACTTCATCGCGGAGAACTTGGTTGAGGACTTGGAGCTCTGCCGTGAGAACCGGGAGGAAGGAACCTGGTGGGCTGTGACCTTGTTCTGTCCCTCCAGGCATGAGAGCGACTCGGTTCCTCCAGTGGCTTTGCTCGCGTCCAGAAGAGGTTGCCTCACGTCCATCCTCGTCTGCTCTTCTATAGCCTGCTCCTTGCTCCCTCCTCTTTTCCTCCCTCCTCACCTTTTCCTTATTTGCTCTTTCCTTCTCCTTGCTCTCTCCTCCTTTCTTTCCCTCCTTCCCGTCCTCTCCCCTCCTACTTCACTTGTCGCTCCTCACACGCGCACCAGAGAATCGCCGTCGTTTCGCATTCGGGCTTCTTGACGTGAGAGGAGGATGGAGGGAAGAAGCGGCTTAACCTCCTGTCCTCAGCCATCTCTTCAGTCAGTTTGGGATGAACAAGTATCATGCTCTTGCGCGAAAGGTCTGAGCAAACAACTGCGCATCTCAACATCCGTTCATCAGCAACTTTTGTTTCATGACGTTGTGAATGGTTTTTTTGTTTGTCTTGTTATGATGTCTCAAGTGCTCTCGGCCGAAATGTCTTCTTTTATCTCCCTCCTCATATCCCTCCTCACTGCAAATACTCCCCTCTCTTCCTTGCATGAACCTGTTTGCTTCCTCGTTCCACTCCTTCCTCTCGTGTCGCTTCTCTCCCGTGTTCGACATCTGACATCGACATCGTCTATCCTCCCGTGCAGGACGTCAGCGAGCTACGTCGTCGTCCTCTCCACGCCGAGATGCGAGGCGTGCTCCTTGCCGCTCATCGGCCATTCAACGAAAGCGAGGTGAGCACGCCGGACCCGCCTCAATCCTTTCTCGCTCGCACCCTCCCGCCCATCCCTCCCCAACTCCCCCTCCTGTTGCTTTTCTTTCCTATCGCAAACCCCTCCCTGTGCTCGACGTTTGCCCTCCCGATCCCTCACCATCTCTCCCTCTTCCTCTCCCTCTCTCTCTCTCCTCTCTCTCTCCTCT